CCCGCCCCTCCCGGGGGTCCCAGTCGCGGACCCCTCGTCCCGGGATCGAACCCGCCCCCCCCCCCGGGGGTCTCAGCCCCGGGAACCCCCGGGGGCCCGTCCCGGTCCCCCCCCCTCTCCGGGGGTCCCAGTCCCGGATCCTGCCCTCTCCGGGGGTCTCAGTCCCGGATCCCGCCCTCTCCGGGGGTCTCAGTCCCGGGACCCTCCCCGTGTGTCCCCCCCCGGGGGTCTCAGCCCCGGGACCCCCCCCAGGACCCATCCCCGTCCCCCGCCCCCCTTCTCCGGGGGTCCCAGTCCCGGATCCCGCCCTCTCCGGGGGTCTCAGTCCCCGGACCCCCACCCGTCTCCCCCCCCGGGGGTCTCAGGCCCCAGACCCCCCCGTGTGTCCCCCCCCGGGGGCCCGTCCCGGTCCCCTCCGCCCCCCCCCGTACCTCGCCCCGGGCCGCCCGTCCATGGCCGCCGCTGCCGCGCCCTCGGCGCCCGCACCCACCGCCCGACCCCCTCCTCGGACACGCCCCCCCGGGACACGCCCCCTCCTCGGACACGCCCCCTGGGACACGCCCCCTCCTCGGACACGCCCCTCTCACCGGACACGCCCCTGGGACACGCCCCCTCATTGATCACGCCCCCTCCTCGAACTCGCCCCTCCAAGACACGCCCCCGCCTCGGACATGTCCCGGGACACGCCCCCTCCTCGGACACGCCCCCTCCTCGGACACGCCCCTCAAAGACAAGCCCCCTCAAGAGGACACTCCCCCTCTGTGCAGGCCACGCCCCCTCCAAGCAGGACAAAGCTCCCTCCTCGAACACGCCCCCTCCTCGGACACGCCCCCTCCAAGCAGGACACGCCCCCACCCAAACACACCCCTCTTATGGGACACGCCCCTTCCGAGCAGGACACGCCCCCTTATCCAGACATGCCCCACACGTGGACACACCCTTTATTGGACACGCCCCCCAGTCCCCCAGTCACGCCCCCACCAGGACATGCCCCCTCCCCGGACACACCCCTACCATGACACGCCCCTCTCAGGGACACACCCCCTGTCCCCAGACACGCCCCCACCCAGACACACCCCTCTCCTGAACACGCCCCCTGTCTCTGGACTCACCCCCAACACGCCCCTTATCATAAACCACGCCCATCCCCGACCACGCCCCCTATCCCGACACACACCTCTCCTAGGTGATCCCTCTCTCTGACCACGCCCCACTCTCAGGACACGCCCCCTCCTGTGTATGACCCCACCTGGACACGCCTCCTCAGGACACGCCCCTCCTGACCACGCCCCCTCCTTACCGCGCTCCTCAGCCACACCCTTTCCCTGGTCACGCCCCCTCTTGTGTACACCCACTTCTGGACACGCCCCCCCACATGACCACGCCCCCTCTCGTGTACGTCCTCACCTGGACACGCCCCCTCCCAGACCACGCCCCCTCCAGCGATCCAAGTCCCTGCCCACCAGTTTGGCCACGCCTCCCTTGGCACACGGCCAAAGCCCCGCCCATCATCTTCTAACTCCGCCCCCTGCATCAGCTCCACCCACTGAGGGCCCAAGAAGCTCCGCCCCCCATCCTGCCTGGCCACGCCCCTTCTGGGCAGACCCCAAACCTGGGACCCCCCGGAACCTCCTCTGAGCCATCCAAAACCGCCTCTTGGACCCCCCAAACCCCTCCGAGCCCCCCAAAACTCCTCTGAGCTCTCCCAAATCCCCTCTGGGATCCCTAAAACCCTCCTGAAGCCCACAGAGACTCCCCCAGGAACTCCCTAAACCCCCTCAACCCCCCCCTAGACCCCTAAACCCCCCCTGGAGCCCACAAAGACGCCCAGGAACCCCTTAAACCCTCCCAAAATCCCCCCGGGACCCCCAAACTTCCGCTGCCCCTGCCCGTTCCCTTTGGCCCCGCCCCTTTCCCCAGGCCCCGCCCCCCTCGCTCTCCCATTGGCCGCTGTCCCGGCTCTGACCCGGAAGTGCCGCGGCCGCGCCGTGACCCGGAAGCGGCACCGGGAGCGGCGGGAGCGGGACCGGGAGGAACCATGTGAGGGGAAGGGGGGGGAGGGAATCGGGGGGGATTTGGGGGGGATTTGGAGGAAAAATGGGGCTAAAAAGGCGTGAAAAGGGGGCGGGGAGGGACGGGGGGGGACGGAGGGACCGGGGGAGAGCGGGCGAGAGACGGGGGGGAAGCGGGGGAATGAGAGGGCGGAGGGAAGGGGAATGGGAAGGGAGGATGGGGGGGTTAAACGGGGGGAACCGGGAAAGGGGGTCGGAATGGGGGAAGGGAGGGGGGCGAGGGGGGAGCGGGAGCGGGAATGGGAATGGGGAGAGCCGGGGGGGGAGACGGGAATGGGGGGAATGGGGAAAAACAGGGGGGAAAACGGGAATGGGAATGGGGGGAACCAGGGGGGAGGGAACTCCCCCAGGAGTCTGCTGTGTCCCCATGTCCCCCTCATATCCCCATGTCCCTGCTGTCCCTGCTGTCCCTGTGTCCCCCCGACACCCCTGCTATCCCCCTGCCATCCCTGCTGTCCCCTGCTGTCCCTGTGTCCCCCCGACACCCCTGCTGTCCCCCTGCCATCCCTGCTGTCCCCTGCTGTCCCTGTGTCCCCCCGACATCCCTGCCATCCCTGCTGTCCCCCTGCCATCCCTGCTGTCCCCCGGTGTCCCCAGGAGCCTGCTGTGGCCCATGTCCCTCCCGTCCCTGTTGTCCCTGACATCCCTGCTATCCCCTGCTGTCCCTGTGTCCCTGCCATCCCTGCTGTCCCCCTGGTGTCCCCTGCTGTCCCCTGGTGTCCCCAGGAGCCTGCTGTGTCCCCATGTCCCTGCGTCCCTGCCATCCCTGCTGTCCCTCAGTGTCCCCAGGAGCCTGCTATGTCCCCGTGTCACTGTGTCCCTGACATCCCTGCTATCCCCTGCTGTCCCACTGTCCCCCTGCCATCCCTGCTGTCCCCCTGCCATCCCTGCTGTCCCCGTGTGCCCCCAGGAACCTGCTGTGTCCCCGTGTCCCTGTGTCCCTGACATCCCTGCTATTCCCTGCTGTCCCTGTGTCCCCCTGCCATCCCTGCTGTCCCCCTGGTGTCCCCTGCTGTCCCCTGGTGTCCCCAGGAGCCTGCTGTGTCCCCATGTCCCTGTGTCCCTGACATCCCTGCTATCCCTGCTATCCCCTGCTGACCCTCTGTCCCCCTGCCATCCCTGCTGTCCCCATGTGTCCCCAGGAGAGTGCTGTGTCCCCATGTCCCTCCCGTCCCTGTTGTCCCTGACATCCCTGCCGTCCCCCTGCCATCCCTGCTGTCCCCCTGCCATCCCTGCTGTCCCCCTGCCATCCCTGCTGTCCCTGTGTCCCCCTGCCATCCCTGCTGTCCCCCTGCCATCCCTGCTGTCCCCGTGTGTCCCCCAGGAGCCTGCTGTGTCCCCATGTCCCTCCCGTCCCTGTTGTCCCTGACATCCCTGCCGTCCCCCTGCCATCCCTGCTGTCCCTGTGTCCCCCTGCCATCCCTGCTGTCTCCCTGCCATCCCTGCTGTCCCTGTGTCCCCCTGCCATCCCTGCTGTCCCCCTGACGTGCCTTGCTGTCCCCGTGTGCCCCCCAGGAGCCTGCTGTGTCCCCATGTCCCTGCTATCCCCTGCTGTCCCTCTGTCCCCCTGACATCCCTGCTGTCCCTGTGTCCCCCTGCCATCCCTGCTGTCCCCCTGCCATCCCTCTGTCCCCCTGCCATCCCTCTGTCCCCCTGCCATCCTGCGTCCCCCTGCCCATCCCTGCCCATCCATTTGTGTCCTCCTGCCATACCTGCTGTACCTGTGCCCCCCCTGCTGTTCCCCCTGCCATCCTTGTCCCCCCTGAACATCACTTGCGTCCCTGTGGGTGTCCCCATGTCCCTGTGTCCCTGACATCCCTGCTATCCCCTGCTGTCCTCTGCTGTCCCTGTGTCCCTCTGTCCCCCTGCCATCCCTGCTGTCCCCGTGTGTCCCCCAGGAGCCTGCTGTGTCCCCATGTCCCTCCCGTCCCTGTTGTCCCTGCCATCCCTGCTGTCCCTGTGTCCCCCTGCCATCCCTGCTGTCCCTGTGTCCCCCTGCCATCCCTGCTGTCCTCCTGCCATCCCTGCTGTCCCTGTGCCCCCCTGCCATCCCTCTGTCCCCCTGCCATCCCTGCTGTCCCCCTGACACCCCTGCTGTCCCCGTGTGCCCCCCAGGAGCCTGCTGAACAAGCCCAAGAGCGAGATGACGCCGGAGGAGCTGCAGAAGCGGGAGGAGGAGGAGTTCAACACGGGCCCACTGTCGGTGCTCACGCAGAGCGTCAAGAACAACACGCAGGTGCTCATCAACTGCCGCAACAACAAGAAGCTGCTGGGCCGCGTCAAGGCCTTCGACAGGTCAGGAATGGTGTCCCCAGGGTGTCCCCAGGGTCCTCAGTGTCCCCAGAGTCCCTTCAGTGTCCCCACAGTGACCCCTGAGTCCCCACAGTGACCCCGAGGGTGTCGCGTCAAGGCCTTTGACGGGTCTGGAACCGGCGTCCCCAGGGTGTCACCATGGTCCTCAGGGTCCCCAGGGTGTCCTCAGGATGTCACCAGGGTCCTCAGGGTCCCCAGGGTGTCCTCAGGGTGTCCCCAAGGGCTCCTCAGTGTCCCCAGAGTCCCTTCAGTGTCCCCACAGTGACCCCTGAGTCCCCAGGGTGACCCCGAGGGTGTCGCGTCAAGGCCTTTGACGGGTCTGGAACCGGCGTCCCCAGGGTGTCACCATGGTGTCCTCAGGGTCCCCAGGGTGTCCCCAAGGGCTCCTCAGCATCCTCAGGGTGTCACCAGGGTCCCCAGGGTGTCCCCAGGGTCCTCAGTGTCCCCAGAGTCCCTTCAGCGTCCCCACAGTGACCCCGAGGGTGTCGCGTCAAGGCCTTTGACGGGTCTGGAACCGGCGTCCTCAGGGTGTCACCATGGTCCTCAGGGTCCCCAGGGTGTCCTCAGGGTGTCACCAGGGTTCTCAGGGTCCCCAGGGTGTCCCCACAGTGTCCCCAAGGGCTCCTCAGTGTCCCCAGAGTCCCTTCAGCATCCCCACAGCGACCCCGAGGGTGTCACATCAAGGCCTTCGACGGGTCTGGAACCGGCGTCCCCAGGGTGTCCCCATGGTCCCCAGGGTGTCCTCAGGGGCCTCAGGGTGTCCCCAGTGTCCCCAGGGTGTCCCCAAGGGCTCCTCAGTGTCCCCAGAGTCCCTTCAGTGTCCCCACAGTGACCCCGAGGGTGTCGCATCAAGGCTTTTGATGGGTCTGGAACCGGCGTCCCCAGGGTATCACCAGGGTCCTCAGGGTCCCCAGGGTGTCCCCAGGGTCCTCAGCATCCTCTGGGCGTCCCCGAGGGGTCCCCAGGGTGTCCTCAGGGTCCTCAGGGTGTCCCCACAGTGTCCCCAAGGGCTCCTCAGTGTCCCCAGAGTCCCTTCAGTGTCCCCACAGTGACCCCAAGGGTGTCGCATCAAGACCTTCGACAGGTCTGGAACTGGTGTCCCCGGGGTCCTCAGGGTGTCCCCAAGGGCTCCTCAGCATCTCCAGGGTCCCCACAGTGTCCCCAGGGCTCCTCAGTGTCCCTGGAGTCCCTTCAGTGTCCCCACAGTGACCCCTGAGTCCCCACAGCGACCCCGAGGGTGTCACGTCAAGGCCTTCGACAGGTCTGAAACCGGCGTCACCAGGGTGTCACCAGGGTCCCCACAGTGTCCCCAGGGTGTCCTCAGGGTCCTCAGGGTGTCTCCACAGTGTCCCCAAGGGCTCCTCAGTGTCCCCAGAGTCCTTTCCGTGTCCCCACACTGACCCCAAGGGTGTCACATCAAGGCCTTCGACAGGTCTGCAGACGGTGTCCCCAGGATCCCCACAGTGTCCCCAGGGGCTCCTCAGCGTCCCCAGGGTGTCTCCAGGGTCCCCACAGTGTCCCCAGGGCTCCTCAGTGTCCCTGGAGTCCCTTCAGTGTCCCCACAGTGACCCCTGAGTCCCCACAGCGACCCCGAGGGTGTCACGTCAAGGCCTTCGACAGGTCTGAAACCGGCGTCACCAGGGTGTCACCAGGGTCCCCACAGTGTCCCCAGGGTGTCCTCAGGGTCCTCAGGGTGTCTCCACAGTGTCCCCAAGGGCTCCTCAGTGTCCCCAGAGTCCTTTCCGTGTCCCCACACTGACCCCAAGGGTGTCACATCAAGGCCTTCGACAGGTCTGCAGACGGTGTCCCCAGGATCCCCACAGTGTCCCCAGGGGCTCCTCAGCGTCCCCAGGGTGTCTCCAGGGTCCCCACAGTGTCCCCAGGGTGTCTCCAGGGTCCTCAGGGTGTCTCCAGGGTCCTCAGCATCCCCAGGGCCCCGGGGTGCCCCAGGGTCCCCATGGTGTCCCCAGAGTGTCCCCATGGTGTCCCCACAGTGTCCTCAAGGTGTCTCTAGGGTCCTCAGGGTGTCCCCAAGTGTCCCCAGGGTCCTCAGGGTGTCTCCAGGGTCCTCAGGGTGTCCCCAGGGTCCTCAACATCCCCAGAGCATCCCCAGGGCATCCCCAGGGTGTCCCCAGGGTCCTCAACATCCCCAGGGCCCCAGGGTGTCCCCAGGGTGTCACCAGAGTCCCCAAGGTGTCCCCAGGGTCCTCAGTGTCCCCAGAGTGTCCCCAGGGTCCCCATGGTGTCCCCAGGGTTCTCAACATCCCCAGGGTCCCCATGGTGTCCCCACAGTGTCCTCAAGGTGTCCCCAGAGTCCTCAGGGTGTCCCCAAGGTGTGTCCAGGGTCCTCAGGGTGTCCCCAGGGTCCTCAGCATCCCCGGGGTGTCCCCAAGGTGTGTCCAGGGTCCTCAGGGTGTCCCCAGGGACCTCAGGGTGTCCCCAGGTCCTCAGTGTCCCCAGGGCATCCCCAGGGTGTCACCATGGTCCTCAGGGTCCCCAGGGTGTCCCCAGGGTGTCACCAGAGTCCCCAGGGTATCCCCAGGGTGTCCCCAGGGTTCTCAACATCCCCAGGGTCCTCAGTGTCCCCAGGGTCCTCAGCATCCCCAGGGTGTCCCCAGGGTCCCCAGGGTGTCCCCAGGGTCCTCAACATCCCCAGGGTGTCCCCAGGGTCCTCAGAGTGTCCTCAGGGTCCCCATGGTGTCCCCAGGGTCCTCAGAATGTCTCCAGGGTCCCCAGGGTGTCCCCAGGGTCCTCAGAGTGTCCTCAGGGTCCCCAGGGTGTCTCCAGGGTCCCCAGGGTGTCCCCAGGGTGTCCCCAGGGTCCTCAGAGTGTCCTCAGGGTCCCCAGGGTGTCTCCAGGGTCCCCAGGGTGTCCCCAGGGTGTCCCCAGGGTCCCCAGGGTGTCCCCAGGGTGTCCCCAGGGTCCTCAGAGTGTCCTCAGGGTCCCCAGGGTGTCTCCAGGGTCCCCAGGGTGTCCCCAGGGTGTCCCCAGGGTCCTCAGAGTGTCCCCAGGGTCCCCAGGGTGTCACCCAGGTACTGAGAGACCCCCCCAACCCCCCCCCCTCTCTGTGCTCCCCCCCCCCAGGCACTGCAACATGGTGCTGGAGAACGTGAAGGAGATGTGGACTGAGGTGCCCAAGAGCGGGAAGGGCAAGAAGAAATCCAAGCCCGTGAACAAGGACCGCTACATCTCCAAGATGTTCCTGCGCGGGGACTCCGTCATCGTCGTCCTGCGCAACCCCCTCATCGCCGGGAAGTAGGAAAGCCACCCCAGGAAACCCCCTGGCAGCCCCCCGGACCCTCTTGGGTCCATCAAGACCCTCCTGGATCCCCCCTTGACCCTCTCAGATCCCCCAGGACCCTTCTGAATTCCCCAGGACCCTCTCAGATCCCCCAGGACCCTCCTGGATCCCCCAGGACCCTCTCGGCTCCATCAAGACCCTCCTGGATCCTCCACAACCCTCCTGGATCCCCCCTTGACCCTCTCAGATCCCCCAGGACACTCCTGAATTCCCCAGGACTCTCTCGGGTCCATCAAGACCCTCCTGGATCCCTCAAGACCCTCCTGAATCCCCCAGGACCCTCCTGGATCCCCCTCGACCATCTCAGATCCTCCAGGACCCTCCTGGATCCCTCTCAACCCTCCTGAATCCCCCCTTGACCCTCTCAGATCCCCCAGGACCCTCCTGACTCCCTCAAGCCCTTCCTGGATCCCCCTCAACCATTTCAGATCCTCCAGGACCCTCCTGGATCCCTCAAGACCCTCCTGGATCCCTCAAGACCCTCCTGGATCCCCCCTTGACCCTCTCACATCCCCCAGGACCCTCCTGAATTCCCCAGGACCCTCTCGGATCCCTCAAGACCCTCCTGGATCCCCCAGGACCCTCTTAGATCCCCCAGGATCCTCCTGGATCCCCCCTCGACCCTCTCAGATCCCTCTGAACCTTCCTGGATCCTTCAAAGCCCTCTCAGATCATTCAAGACCCTCCTGAATCCCCCCCTGACCCTCTCAGATTCTCCGGGACCCTCCTGACTCCCTCAAGACCCTCCTGGATCCCCCCTTGACCCTCTCAGATCCCCCAGGACCCTCCGGACTCCGTCAAGACCCTCCTGGATCCCCCTCAACCATTTCAGATCCCCCTGAATTCCCCAGGACCCTCTGGGGTCCCTCAAGCCCCTCCTGGATCCTTCAAGACCCTCCTGGATCCCCCTCGACCATCTCAGGTCCTTCAAGACCCTCCTGGATCCTTCACAGCCCTCTTAGATCATTCAAGACCCTCCTGAATCCCCCAGGACCCTCCTGAATCCCCCTCAACCATTTCAGATCCCCCAGGACCCTCCTGGGTCCCTCAAGACCCTCTTGGATCCCCCAGGATCTTCCCAAATCCCTTAAGACCCTCCTGGATCTTCCAGGACCCTCCTGGATCCTTCAAGACCCTCCTGGACCCTCTTGACCCTCCCAGATCCCCCAGGACCCTCCTGGATCCTCCACAACCCTCTGGGATCCCCAGGATCCTCTTGGATCCCTCAAGACCCTCCTGGATTCCCCAGGACCCTCCTGGATCCTCCAAGACCTTTTTGAATTCCCCAGGACCCTCCTGGATCCCCCAGGACCCTCTTAGATCCCCCAGGATCCTCCTGGATCCCTCTTGACCCTCCCAGATCCCCCCAGGATCTTCTCAAATCCTTTAAGACCCTCCTGGATCCTCCA